CACTCTGCCGCACTTAACAACGCCATTCAGCTGTTCTACAGTGGCAAGATGGACGTTGTGCTTGGACCTATTAATGATTATGCTCTTGGTTCTATTGGGAGGTTGGTTGGTTGGTTGGTGGGTTGGCTAGCTGATTGGCTGGTTGGATGGTTGGTGGGTTGATTGGTTGGTTGGTTGGTTGGTGGGTTGATTGGTGGGTTAGTTGGCTGGCTGGTTGGCTGGTTGGTTGGTTGGGCGGTGGGTTGGCTGGTTAATTGGTCGATTGGATGGCTGGTTGATTGGTCGATTGGATGGTTGCTTGGTCAGTAAAATAAAAATTGAATGATTGGTTTGTAGATTATTGATAGCTGGTTGAATGGTAAGTTGAGTGAAAATTGAATGATTGGTCAGTTTGCTGAGTGGATAACAAATGATTGTAAGACCATTTGAAGGAAATTGATAAATTAGCCAAAAACTCTTCAAACTTAGCTCCATGCATGCACTTTAGCGCTGAAAGACTAAAAAAAAAAAAATAATGTCGTGTTTTTATTTGGCAGGTGTGAAAGTCAGTACAAATCTTTGAATTTTATCCAAACCTCCCGTTGAGAAGATTTTTATGTATAAAAATTGATTTAAATTAAAATTGATGTATAAATTCTCTGATTTTGAAATCAAAAGAGTTTAACATTCGGAGAAAATTTAAAATTTATTGAGCGGGAAGAATCTATTTAGATTTGTTTGGTCGTCTGACAGCAACAATTTTGCTGTTTTTAAATTAAGAAAAAAAAATGTTTTTTAATTAATTTTTTTTTTCTTGTGAAATTTCTACTTGGTAGATTTGTCACATAATCTGCTGGGATCACACCTGCATAATTGTGACGAATACTATTTTGTATATTTGTTTGTTCGTTTGTATGTTTGTTTGTATGTATGTATGTAGAGTTGTTTGTTTGTATGTAAGATAGTTTATTTGTATGTATGTATGTATGAGTGTATGTGTGTTTGTATATGTGTCTATGGGTTGTTTGTATAACTTTGTATGTATCAAGTTTTGTTTTTTTAGAGTGTTTTTGCTGTTTCATATGAGTCTAGGAATTGTCGGTCCCGAAATTTTCGGTCCCGGAGTTTTCGGTCCCGGAGTTTTCGATCCAAAATTTCACTATATAAGAATTTTCAATCCCAAATGTTTTTAGTACTCAAAAAAATGAGGCAAACGAGAGAGTATCAATGCCAACAATTCAATTTAAAAATCTATTAGCATATTAAAATAAGTGGGAGAGGTTAATAAAATGCGTGGCGTAGAGATAACCTTCAGTAATATATTTATAACCCTAACTTTATCTATTTATTTTTATTTTTTATTTATTTATTTTGAAGGATGACCAAAAAAGATAAATGTAAGGATCTATATAAATATGTAAATCTAAATGTAAAGATATCTTGAACTACTATTTTCACCTGAGAATCTTTGAATACAATTCAAGCATTACTCAAACAATCCATTGTTCAAAGCTATATAATCACTATTTCACTTTACACGTGCAATTTGATTCGAGCTGCGGGTGTGGTGTAGTGGTTACGAACGTGGACTCCGGGTTCGAATGCATGCTGTGCCACATTCCAAAGCTTATCATGTAATTTGAGTATGTGAGGCGGTAAATAGAGTGACGTTTGAGCGCTGTTGAACGTCACGAAAAGTGCGCTGCATAAATAAACTGACGTATACATTTTAAATAGGGACCGAAAATTTCGGGACTGAAAATTCCAATATTGTGAAATCTTGGACCGAAAACTTTGGGACCGAAAACTCTGGGACCGAAAATTTCGGGACCGAAAATTCCTATATAGTGAAATCCGAGACCGAAAACTTCGAGGCCAAAAATTCCGAATACCGTTTCATATTGGGTAATTTAAATTTTAAAATAAACAACTATTTAGAAGAGAGTCACAAACGCGAGCATTTATTATACTAGCATAAAATTTACCTAAGCTCTATAATTGTAATTTTTTTAACCAAATGTTCGTCACACTATTCAAGACCAGGTCAAAAATTAAAAACAATTTCTTACTAGAAAAAAATCGAAATCAAAAAAATCTTTTAAACTAGTTCAATGACACAGAACCTAAATTTTAATCTACTTAAAAAATTTAGAAAAAAATTTTTAAAATTTAACAGAAACATTTAGGTCATATTTCTCAGCGCGGAACGTCTTACAGGCTCGCTGATTACCTTAACTGCTACTTGGATGGCTAAAAAATTGCATTAGGAGGAAATGAAAAAGTTGTAACAAGACAACGTGAGGTAGATGCAGGTTTATGATGCAATCCTGCTTGCAATCACGCATACCAACTGTGCATTTGTGAAAATAGTTAGACTAGTTTATGGCTTAGTAAGTTAGTTAAGTGATGAATAAGAAAAAGGAAAACTAAATTGAGTAGATGATAAGGTTATATTGAGTGCTGATGATGTATTTAAGATGTCTTGTGATGAAGGTTGATTGAGTGGCAACTTGATAGTTAT